CTCGTAATCCCGATAGCGAAATTTTCAGGGTTTTCCCAAGGTGGCAACGGCGAAAAACAGCAGCGTGCAGAGGCGGACACGTGGCGAAAAGAGGAGTTGTCGTCACAACAACGCCAAGGCCGCCGCACACTTGCACACTTGCACGCGCCGCCCCGCCCGCCCCGCTCCCGAATTATTTATTATCAAGATCCGTGATGCTGCAGTTGCCAGGGTTTGAACTTGGGCAGCTGACACTCATGCGCGTGCGAGGTGAGTGCCTTAACACACTGCCCAAAGCCACAATATGAGTTGATATTGTGGCTCACTGGTGTTCAAGAAGTAGCACGACAACTATTTAAGCCCCCCTGTCGACGAGCGTCGAGCAGCGTGTGAGAAGACAGCTATTTGCCCCTGCCCCCCCGGGGCGGTCGTGGATGTTGCCGCCTGCGCATGTAGCTGGTGTGTGCTGCCTCTCGGCCGTGCCACGTGCCAGCTTGTTGTGGATCTTGAAGACTCCCCTTGCGAGGGGGCTGCACTACAGTGACATCTGGGTGGCTGATCAAGATCTCAGCCCACCCCAAATTTTTTTATTTTTTTTTGCAGTGCCATAAGGCCAACAGCATCTTGAAGGCCAAGATCTTGTGGATCTTGGTAGTGCTCTGCTCTTGGCCACCCAAGAGCTTGGTATCACCATCCTACCCACTAACCTACTCTCCCCCAACCCCTTTTCTCTCCCCCCCATCATCTAATCATCCTTTCTAACCCTACCACTACTCCCTCCCCCTACCTACCTCTTCACTCGTCTTCTACAACTTTTTTCTCTCCTTTCCTCCATGAACTCCACCTCCAGACTGACCAGGTGGATGTTTTTGGTTTTCCAATTCTTTTGGGAAGCGGGCCACTACCACTCTTCCAGGTCAAAAGCCAAATCTGACAGCAGGGTGTTCGTTCGGAAGGCAACCCGCAATTCTATTATTGACAGCACCCTTATCCTGAACAATTCTATGTTCATGCCATTCCACTGCATCCAGGGAGAACCTGGTAAGCATGTTGTCAAGGTTGCCTCCTCTCATACCTTTCTAATACATTCCCCACCCTCACCGGCTCCCCACAGATTGCCACCGGGTCACCTTCCCCGAGCCGCGGTCCTTGACACAGAATCCGTACCCAGTGCAGCGGTATTGAAAAGGTGATCTGTTCCACTTTCTTTTCCAGGTTGTGACAGTACCTCAAGACTTGCCTCAGCTGCTGCCCATCTATCCAGAAAGTACGTGTCTCTATTGCATGGACTATCTCCAATGCCATCATCCGTTACATCCTCTCCTAGCATGTCCTGCATGCACTGTTCGGCACTTCAAGTTGCCAGACGAACGACAGGCGCAGCAGCCTGAGACACCTACAGAGCGCTGTACTGAAAGGATATCACCACCAGGACGAGCTGTTGCAGACCAAATTCTGCAGCAGCTAAGCACCCTTGGTTTGGATCAAAATCCATCGTCATTGGCCCATAGAGAGGGAATAAATATTACAGAAACTCGTGGAGCCTGCTCAATACCTCTCTGTGATGACTCACCTGAGATCCAGTTAGCATGTCGCTCACATGCCTTGTGCCGTGAGGATCATGAAGTCATAGCCCATGCGAGTTTTTGTTTTGATACATATGATGACAGTCGGTACTGCACTCATGTACGGCACCCTGACATGTCGTGTCCAATTTGTAGACAGGCTGGAACGGCAATGTCTTTACAATTTTGCGGTCGGCATGCCTGTGTGTGCCTAGCATAGCATGTAGGAGCCACGCCGCCTGTGACATCTGTCTACACTGTGCCATTCGATGCAGCAACTGCAACTGCAAGAACAGGATGCCGTGCCTCCACAGTCCACACCCGAACCAGTCCTGTCCGGTGACTCCAGTCAGGGACTGGCTGGGCTCACGTCCCATTCTCAAGTAGTCTGCTCCGGCGCTGAGTATTTAGAATCCTGTGAAGTTCATCACACCTCTGTCCTGTCCTTTGCACTCCACTTCCTCCCCTACCCTTTCTCCCTCCACAGCCCCTCACTCCCTATAGAACTCCGCTTCCTACCCATGTCCTCCCCTAATGTGCTACTAGCAAATAATATATGGATGAGCATGATTGAGAGAACAGAATGTATAAGCTGAAGGTCTGAAGTGAAATGAACAGGAGTATACCTTCCCCTTTACTCTGCTCTCATCACGTGCAAGTCCGTCGTTGACGCACACAGGGATGTGGGCAGCTGCCACTCAACCACAATCAACATGGACAGCCTTGTACATGCGAGGGACAGTAAAAAGGGAGCTGCAAGAACAAATGCAAGGGGTAGCCCAAGGATAACCAAAAAACTGTCTAATTGTGAAATTGCTGAAATGCTGGACTGTCTCAAGTGCTCTCATGGTCTGCAATAGGACAAAATCTGCTTCCACTCTGAATCCACGCATCTGAGTGGAATGGGGCTGTTGTGGGGGAAATCTAAAACACACACACACACACACACACACACACACACACACAGGTCTTCTTCTCATCATACATAGCTCTACCACAGCTATGTCCTTTTGTCAAAACACTTCGGCAGAAAGCTCTGGAAGTGACACCATCAATGATCAGCTGCAAATCGATGACAATTGAGGCTGTTTCAACGCAGTTGTCGTGGGTCAAGCATTAGCTAACTTTGGCAGCCACCAGCATTGGAGAGATTGATATTGGATCACAAACGCAACCTCATTTGCAGACAGATTTGGGACATCAGCAGGCACATCAAGTTACACTTTCCTGCTCCGTCTGATGCCTATATGTTGATGGGAAACGGTCTGCATGAAAGTCACTTGACTTTAGTACAAGACAGTCGATCCCTGGGGATAACACTGTGTGAATTGTCCTCTTTCGCAGTTCCTTTTTTTGGCTGGTGTACTCAGAACCTGTGATGTGGTGTGCAAGTCTTATCCCCATGATCATAGCAGGCCATCTATTGGGTGATGAGATGCTGCAGCAGGTGCCTGGAAGTGGGTTGCCAGTTGCATGTGCAATCAGACTCGACTTCAGACTTACTTTCCACATGCAGACACGAGAAGTGATGGCAAACCCAAACTCGTCAACTCAGAATCAACAACAAACTTGCACTTAAACTCTGTTCAATACAACTGTACACCTTGCGGCTATGGCCGCCGAACACTGTCTCCACCACCAGCCTCACTCTCCCTCTTCACGCATGTACGAGGATCACCCTGAATGTCCACGCTACACAGACACAAACACTGTCTACACTCTGTCTACACCAACAGCTGGGCGGTTATGGCCGTCGTCGTCTCCCTTCTTCCAGCTATGGCCACCATCGTCTACCTCACTGGCCACTTCCTCTCCGGGCACCTGCAGACCTCCACGCACAAGAAACCAAGGCAGCTCTTCCGCATGGCTCACAGGCAAATCAATGAATGGCTGGACACTGCCTCTTTATTTATACTTCTTCGGAGGTACCCGGGACTGCCTCAAAACGTGTGGGCCTGGGCCAAAACGTGTGGCTCAGGGAAGCTTCCAGACGTTTGGCCTTTTGGGCCAAAACGTGTGGAACCCACCGCGGTCCAGAACCTTCCCCACGTGCAGCCCCTACCCATGGTACTTGCTGACTGGACTGGCCTACAGGGACCTACGACCTTCTAGAAGCCACAGACTTACAGACAGACTCTAGGCCTCAGTAGACTCAGATAGAGACTTCTAGAACAGACCTTCCTAAGCCTAACGGTAACAGACCTAACTCCTAATCTACAGACCTAGGGAGAGTCTCACACAGATCGCTGGGCCTATGTACAGGGTACAGGGTAGGTGTAGGGATCGAATCTCACTCAGCACACAGGGTCGATGTACAAGGTACAGGGTAGGTCTAGGGATTGAATCTCACTCAGCACACAGGGTAAATGTACAGGGTTTGGGCACAGGTCTAGGATCGAATCTCTGTGTCTGCAAATGTCGGGTCTACTGGGTGAAACCATTTCACATGAATTGAGGGCATGTTGATCAGATCCCGGAATTGGGTGCAAATCTAAAGACGTTAGACTCTTCTCAATTTTTGTGGCCCCGTGTGCAAACCCTCTCTGTATCGTTCCAACCCTAATGGATGTCTCAAAGACTTCACTCTCCTCTTTTTTCAGGCAGATTTGGAATTATCTGCCCTTGCATTCCTGTCCTCTTACCCCAGTACATCTTCCTATCCCCTGCACTGTACCAAGGCTGACGCTATGAGCTAACAAGAGTCTTCATCAAGTCACCACTACTTGTGGAATTGGAACTTTACCGAGAAGATTAGCAGATGTTCAACTCACGTGTTGGTACTGCACCAAGAAAGACCCTGGCCCTGGTAGTAGTTGGACAAGGAATTCGTCCCGAGTGCGGCTGTGGCAGTAAGTAGGAGATAGGAGAGGCATGGTGGTAATTCTTTTGTCCTTCAAACATCCGTGCTAGCCATGGACGTACGACCATAGCGAGCTACCGGTAGTTGCCTTGCAGAGATGTGAGGAGAGTGAGAAGAGGTTAAACAGACTTTTTCTTCACTGGCAGGGGGAAAGATCATCCGAATATCTATACTTTGTTTTCCCCTTTCTTGTTGTTTATTCATTCACTTATTATTGCTTTCAATTGTGAATAAGGTGAGACCACGATCATGTAAGGGTTCTGGTGACGATGGCGAAAGGGAGGGAGATGACATTGGTTCAATCTTGAGGTCTTCTGCTTTTCCTTTCTTTGTTCATCCTTCTTCTCACTTGGTCTAAATCCCATCTAGTTGTCATGCATGGGATTGTTTCAAAGTTGTCTTGCAGTATGAATTGAGCAGGATCATAGCAGTAGCGAACAAAACGATTTTTCATACAATATCAATCTCCGAGAGAAAACATTGCATACGATACGAAGGAGGGTGAAAGGCATAACAGGCGCCAAAACCAAAACCAAAACCAGTCTCCTCGATTGAGATACCCTTCAGGCGTGTAAGACGGAGACTCTGGAGAGAGGTCTCGCCAAAACCGGCCTCATCAACGATAAGGTGCCACAGAAAGACGGTATCGCACAAGAAAGAACTACCCATATACCAGGCCTAGAGAACCCTTGATAGCAGCACCGGAACGAAGATTACGAGAGAGAGAGAAGAGGGAGGGAGAGAGAGGAGGGAGAGGGAGAGAGAGGCAAACTGCTGAACATCTGAACTCTCTCCACTTAGTTCGACAAAGGACAGCAAAAAGGGCTCCGCCGGTCGGACATCGCATCTGAGAAAAGAATCAAATTTATGTGGCCCCTGTCTCAACGCTTTTGAGACTGCATTAAGCAGCACGCCCGCATGCTGAGACTAGGGCTTTTCTGACCGAACCTGACCTGCATTACGAGCCAGTTACATTCCCACAGTCTTCGTGTGAGTATGCCCCTATTATTCTCCTTGCAAGACAAATTCTATCCAGTCCCGCCAAATCCCGCCCACTTTGCAAGACAATCTCCTTAATCTGTCCTAAAGCTTGGAGCATGGAACTTTCTCACGCCAGAAATTGCGGGTTCAAAGCACGCTTTACCGCCAATCTCCTTGCAGCAGCAATGGACATTCTGCTGCCAGGAAGGTATTCATAGCCCTTGCCTCGTGAAAAAAGGCGAGATTTCACGACCATGAATACGAGAAATGGATCCTAAATACTCTCTCTCTAGAAAACAGCCCCCCTCCTAAGTATCGATCTCCTCTTAAAAACCCTTCTTCACAATGTAGTTGTCAGCCCACTTCACAGATGCGATGACCCATTTAACAGAATTAAAATGCCCATTTGACAGACGAGAGATGCAGATGAGAGACGGCTCATTTGACAGACGAGTTATGACCCAATCTACTGTAGTCATGATCATCCTATGCAGCAGACTACAGAACATTTTTCCTTCATATTGAAACTTGCCTGCCCCGCACATGCTCATCATTGCCCATTAATCTTTTATCAATCCGCTATATATCTGCCTCATGCCCCATCAAGATGTTGGGATGCGAATGATAGAAATCTCCTAGCTGCTACATCAAAGAAGTAGACTTTGATAAATGCCGTGGGCAACTACCACCACTCCAGGCTTTCATCTGGCGGAGGGACACATCACATCCTCCACTTCGCCATGTCTGTCTGTTTGGAAATCTCGGTTAGCTGTCCCTCGTCTCCCAATGCATGTCCATGGTGGAAAATGAGAGAGACCACTCTTCTTAACGTAATAAGTCTAATCCGTGTTGCCACCAACCTGTTTAAAACCTTAATTCACAGTTTGAGGACCGCGATTTAGACAAAGTTGCTTCATACATCGCAAAGTAGCAGACAGCATTATACATAGCAAAGTAGCAGACACCTTTCTCAATCGCCAAGTAGCAGACAATACTATCGCCGAGATTCTGATCTATGATAGACCAAACGAGCCCACCAAACCTTTCCTCTACGGAGCAGAAGCAGTAGAAAGAAGAAACAGAAAGAAGAAAGAAGAAAAAGGAGAACAAAGAAAGAAGAAGAAGAGGGCAGCTCCAGTCCACACAGTTATTGGAAAGCAAAGCTCTGAGCAACACGCTCAAAAAGAGACACAGAGCGACATCGTGACGGAGAGAGAGAGAGAGAGAGAGAACGCAGCGCGTAGCCAGACAAACGCGGGACGTTCCAAGATGCACAATCAGCAGATGATGAACGCACATGGCACCCAGCAAGACGGCCCTTTCGACACTTCTCCATTTCCGAAGCATAAGACTATCATTCAGGTCCCCTGCTGGATTGCTAGGTCCTAGTTGCTCTGCTTGATTGTCATCGGTTGAGTGAGCTATACTTGCTTGTCTTTGTTGATCAGGTGCTGGCAAAGCCTGTTGATCTGGTACTGGCAAAAGGTAGGGCACTCGCGCCTCGTCCATTAAGCTGCTGCTGGCAAATGGATACAGAAGGTGGGTTGTAGGCTATAGCCGAAGAAATCAATCAACAAAGAACGTCGTTGCTGCTGCACAGCGAGTAGGACCTAGCAATCCAGCAGAAGCCGCCGGGGGTCTTCAATAACATCCTTGATGCGCCGGAGAAACAGCACAGCCTCTCTTCCGTCGATAAGGCGGTGATCATACGTCACAGCCACATACATCATCGGCCGGATCACGACTTCATCCTTGATCGCCACAGGCCTCTTTTGAATAGAATGCATGCCAAGAATAGCCGACTGCGGGGGGTTGATGATGGGCGTGCTAAGCAAGCTGCCATAGACTCCTCCATTGGAAATGGTGAAAGTGCCCCCTGCCATGTCATCTATTGAAATGCTACCGTCTTTTGCCTTCTCCCCCAGCATGACAATATTCTTCTCCACGTCGGCAAATCCCATGGACGTTACATTCTTCAAAACGGGAACCACAAGTCCCTTGGGCGTTGCAACCGCAATGCTGATGTCGACATAATCCCGATAAACGATAGTGTCTCCATCAATTACAGCATTCGCCGCCGGAATCCGGATCAGCGCATCAGCCGCAGCCTTGACAAAAGCGGACATGAACCCTAGTTTCACCCCATGCTGCTCTAGAAATGCATCCTTGTATGCATTCCGCAATTCAATCAGGTTCGTCATATCAATTTCATTGAAGGTGGTCAGCATCGCGAAGGTGTTCTGCGCGTCCTTCAGCCTTGATGCGACACGTTGCCGCAGCCGAGTCATCTTGACCCTCCGTTCCCCGCGTTCGGAGGCCAACTGCGGCCCTGACGGTCCAGGAGAGCCGCCCGTAGCACTGGGCTTCGCAGGAGATGGAGGGGTAGCAGTAGAACCCTTTGATGCAGTAGCAGCCACCGCCGGCGTTGGTCCTGCCGCCTTCTCTGTTTTTGCTTGTGGCGTGCCTGCGTGTGCCGCCTCCTGTTTCGCATCAGCAGGTCTCTCTCCTCCCTTTCTTAGGACGGCCACCTTAGTCTTGGGCGTGACTGTGTCCCCCTCTTTTACGACGATCTGCTCGATTACCCCTGCTTCCGGTGATCGGATATCGATTGTGACCTTGTCCGTCTCAATCTGGGCGATGGCCTCGTCCACGTCCACATAGTCGCCCGGCTTCTTCAACATGGTTGCTATGACTCCGTCTGGAACAGAGTCGCCCATGAATGGCACCTCGATGTCCACTTGTCCCTCTGCTGATGAGGAATACCATCGTTGGCTTGGAGGAGTGCGCAGTCGCCAACTCAGACAGGCATCCCGTCCCGACAGACGACCGATTTTCAACCCATCTCGAGAAGCCGGCACAATCCCCGGCGCGCTCTGAAGGTTCGCCTCCCGCTGGTGCTGGCCAAGCATCGACGGTAACTGCGAGTCCAGGCGACATTTCCCCAGCAACTGGGAATGACCACCGCCATCGCCTTTAAGGACCGGAGAAGCTGCAAGAGATGGTGCGGACAGACACAAAGAGCGTGAGGACCAGCACTGGGAACCGGGTACATAGTACACCGTCGACTGGCGACTTGGGACAGCTGGCGGCTCGATCCGAGAGGCTACACGCGTCAGCAGCTCAGAGACTAGCGACGAACATGAAGGCAAACGCGACTGCGTGCCAAGCGAGGAGCATGCTTCCTCCGAACGGGGATGAGAATCGCAAGCAAATCCGGCGCGCCAATCCCCACGGTAACGGCGGCAAACAGGAGCAACTGAATCCCATGCCCGGCGGTTATTATACACCCGCCTCACCACAAACGACACCCGGTCCATCGCTCCACGGCCGGGAGTATGACGACCTGCAAAACCCTAAAAGCCCCCCTGCTTCCTCCCCCTCGGTTGACCCGCCCCTGCTACTCCAATACACAGCTCACTCAGAGCAGAAACCAGCCACTCGCTGAAAGAATTCCGCAAGCGGTAGCCCGCTAAATGCTGCTGTCCCCGTCAATCTCCCATTTGAGGCTGATTTGCCCCTTCTTTCTGCATATTTCGGCGCTCCTTCTAGTCTAGGGCGCGGCAGTCCAGATCCTTTTCTCTTTGAAAATACTGCCACAGCTGGCTATGGCGATTTCCTACCTCCATACCAAAACGTGCCTACGACGGTCAGCTCCTCGCGATCGGCGCCAGTTGAGCGTTCCACCTTTTCACCGCGCCATCCCTTTTCCGTTTTCAATCCAGGTTTGCCAAACGTGTTTTTGGGCGGAGTTTCAAGGTTTCCGCTCCGGACCCGCACATGCATCATCGTTGAATGGTGCAGACATTCATCTGTTCGTCAACAGGTCGTGAGATCAAATCCTGATCATCAGGTGGGGATTTCAGCGCGGCTGACTTCGTGCGATATCCCTATAAAGGCTCCCTTATTATTTAGGGCCATTTCGTGAGATTTACGGTCTGATCCCACACTACTTACGGAACAAGAATCCGTCGAAGTAATGAAAATGCTGGGCCAGCTCCGGGCGACCCCACCTTCCCGTATCGTCAGTAGGTTTCATGTGGGTTTCCGTGCTTTTGGTTGGGCGGGTTCTTTTACGGACATGAAAATGGTCCACTTGAACAGACACTGCCGCCCCCGCCCCCAGTCGTACACTTGCCCTCAAAAAGAAACTGGACAAACCAGCCCAACGAAACGGACACAACAAAATGCAAAAAAATAAAATAAAATTTCCTTCTTTTTTGCTGCAGGATACGGGCCCGGTTCTCTTCCAAATTCCCTCAAGCTTTTTCGGTGGCGGTCATTTTCTGCCAGCCACGACTTCAAACGTTTCAACTTACCTCCGAAGCTTATGCAGCGGCCTTCGTCCGAGGAATCATGTGGGATCCGGAAATAGTGTGGGATCAGACCCTTATTTGTGCGTGAGCATTGACCATGGGAAGGAGGTCTATGAGGCGCTGCGCGCCGGATTCCAGGTCGAGTTTTTGGTGATGGCCGACAGATGAAGGTGATCCAGGACAGGGGAGTGTGCAGAGGGGCGCCCATACCAAAATGTTCACAGCGCGCCTTTAAACGAGACAGCGCGCCCAAAGAGCGCAGCACACGGCGGGCATTGATGCAGAAGACCATATCTAAGGCGAGCCCTCCGATATGCGTGGGCGGCGTTTGTTTTTCTTTTTCGTTTTCACACGTCGTTTTGTGTGGTCGCCGTTTTCTTTTTTTTTTTTTTACGTTTTCACGCATCGTTATGTATTCCCTTTTTTTTTTTACGTTTTGGGGCGTCGTTTTTTTTTTTTTTTCCCCAGCAACTATTATGTTGTGCCCCCCTTTCCCTTTTTTCTTCGTTTTTTTCCTTTGAGAAAATTATTATATTTACATTTACAATATATTTACAATTGTCAGGAACCGGGTCCCAGGCTCTCTCCCGGCTACTCCGCCCAAGTGCAGGCCCAAGCTGCAAGAACAAAACCAAACCTCAGGCCTTCAGGGTCATACAAAGAGCAATACAGAAATGAAAACAAAACAAAACGTAGCCATTGACCCTATCCTACTAAGTTGTACTAAGCGACGGAAAGAAAGTCACAGTTGTAACCTCAAACGAGTATTCGGCCAGCAGTGCTATCAAAGGACAGCTCACTCACAACTGCAAACACTACAGCCTAAAACCCTGCAACGATCAATATTGAAAGTTCAAAGCTTCACGGGTCCAGTTGGTTTCCCCTTTGTAGTGCACGGCCCGCCCATCCACACCCGTGCACAGCCGCCCACACCTAGCCACCCCACCCACCTACCCATTCACACGCACGTACACTCGCCCGCCCACCCACCCACACCCACACCAGCACCGACACCCATGTATATATATATATATATATATTTTTTAATTTGGCTTCTGTTTTTTGTCGTTGTCTGGATTTTTTTTTTTTTTTTTTTTTTTCCGTTCTTTTTCTGTGGGTCTTGGTGAGTAGTGGAGCTTGAGCGTTTTGTTTGCTTTTTTTTTTCACATTTTCTGCGGGGCATCTTGACAAATTCTACGGGAAGATTCATTCTCCTTTTGTAGGTTTGCTGACCAGTGGGAGCGAGATGAAAAGTCGAGACTTTGGACCTCGGACCCACTGCTCACGAAATGTGCAAACCGGTAATGAATCTTCCGCTAGAACATGGCAATATACCCCGCAGATCTCACCGGGGTGCATGTGTTTAGTTTAGTTTGGTTCTCTCTCTCCTTCACATACACACAACACCCAACGCACAGACACACACACTCGCATCGTGTGTGTGCATGTGTCAGAGAGATAGTGTGACCAAGGTTCTGCCATCGTTAGTGGCACGAACCGAGACAAGCACGCGCTGTCTAAATATGGCGCACCTGTCTCAAAACAAGGGAAAAAAATAAAAATTTGAAAAAACAAAACAAAACATTGTGCGCAATGTCAAGACGCGATTGTGATTTGCTTAAGAGGTAGGTTATGTTCCCGCCTTTTCACCTCTTTGCTCCCCTTTTTCCTACCTTTTTCCTTTCGTCCCTTAGTCATCCTCCCCTCTCTCTCTCTCTCTCTCTCTCTCTCTCTCTCTCTCTCTCTCTCTCTCTCTCTCTCTCTCTCTCTCTCTCTCTCTCTCTCTCTCT